AGTTCTTTTTCCTGTTTTTAAATACAGGTAATTAAATACAGCAATAATAAACATCATTTTAGAAAAAAATATATTTTACTTTATAATATTTAAATTTTTCAAAATAACATAAAAATTGTTCAAAATAACATAAAAATAAAAATTGTTAAATATCTGTGTATTGGTTTATTATAATACTACTAAATTAAAATAATTTCGAAATTTTTATATATATTGAAAAGATTTGTTGTTTTGATAAATCGGTAAAGATTTTAACCTCCACCCCCCTCCGTAACGGCCAATTTTTGCTTCACTTTTTTATTACTGATTTACAGCAGTTATTACTCTGCAGTTGAACATTTATTGTAACAACCACGAAAGAATTAACAGCACCAAAAGTTTCATAGGACGTCACGTTGTTTCATCACAACTAGTGATGAAATTGGAAACGTAATAAATAAGAAAATCATTGTTAATTTCACGGTATGAACTTATTGTATCAGTGAAGAATTTATACAGACGTTTGCGCATCGATTAATTCAAACAGCTCAAGATTGCTTCTTGTTTCAGAGAGAGACAGCTGACTTCGAGAACAATTCATTATTGTAATTAAAGATAGTGCTGTTTTGATTAACATCGTTTTGGGAGAGGATGCGTTGAACTTCGGCGTCTGTGTCAAGACTATATTCGTGGTTGCACAACCTAGATGCAGCATCTTTATCTTTTCATGAAAAAGTAAATTCAAGTTTTCGGATAAGTGCAAATAAAATAACAAGTAATTTACAAAGAGAAATAAGCGATGTCACAACTGTGAATAATTGACTCACCATACACGAGAATGTAAAAAATGCATGCATAAACATGCTGCAAAAGACTTCAAAAAACGTCAACGAAAAAAGGAAAGCTTAAATGTGATAAGTTCTAATTAAGTTTTTGTCAAGAACTTGTCTCAAAACAATTTTACCAACTCAGCTTTAAAATGAAGCAACAGCGCCTATGGCTACAGGTAATTCGCAACCAATCACTACTATAGTAATGATTAATTGCGAGCTACCTGTAGTCACTTTAAATTTGGTTGGCAGTAATTCTTATAAGAACTACTCCAACCAAATTTAAAGTGGTTTGTGTAGAAGATGTTGCAACAATGGGCGAAATTATTGTTGGATTGTCGCATCCATATGCTTAAAAAATAAAACAATTTCTTCTTTCATCCTCATTTTTCATACAAAATCTTATCTATATATAAAAAAATAAAAAAGTGCCATGAGCAATACTTAATTACAATCGTCATTAAACAATTGTTAAATATTCATCATTAAATAATGGGTGACTTTCAACACGTTTATTTACATGATCTCTAACACGTATAATAAAAATTCACCAACTTTACAATAGAACATACTCTCTTGGTGACTCACGTCCAATCTTTGTGGGGGCCTTACTGTACGTCCAGAGCGCGTTACTTGCAATTCGTTATGTTCTTGAGAATTATTTCAAACTTGAATAACATCATTTTTATATCTTCCTTAAACGTTATCACTTTTATCTTTTGGTCTATAAACATTGTTGAATAATTAATTTAAGTTCTGAAAGCCTTGAATATGGTAAAGCAGGTGGGAAATGTGACGTGGATATTCTTAATACGCAATTTCGATATCAAGCGACAAGGTATTATGCTTTCGTACTACACCTAGTATTCACAGCTAGTCACTTTATGTTTCTTGAGTTGTTTTTACTCAAACACTTTCACCCTCTTTGAATTTCTTCGTCTCCATTCCTTCGGGTATTAATATCTGGGATAAAACAAGTTCGTTTTCTTTTTAATTTCTAAGATGGACTTTCAGTACAGTCGGATGATATTGTCCCGTTGTACTGCAAGGCTGTCAGAAGGATCAAACAATGTGAGCGGGTGGCTTGTTTTTTTATTGTTTTGTGTATGCGTTACCTTAAGCTCGATATTCCAAATTACCATACCATTTTTTAGCAAAACCTGTTAACGTGTTAACCGAAAATCGTTTTCCATTAGAATAAGATTACAAAAAAATTTATACAGATGTTTCGCTACATTTTTCACAGTTTCCACACTTTCATCAACAAATATATTATTAATGAAGTTATCACATTCTTTCTTCACAGTTGGATTTACATTGAGCACGTGCCGAAGAATTGGGGTCATTATTGTTGGAGCTACATTAATGCCAGAACATATTCTGGTAAAACAATTTTCCCATTATTTATTGCTGTTTGATATGGCCAAGTGTTATATACATTTAAAGGTACATTATATAAATTTAAAGGTTGGCTTTTTTAAGATCAAAAATTTTTGCATTTTTTATTTTTTGCGAATTTTCGCAAAACACATTTTCTCTTGACAAACATCCACATTTGCTGTGTTTACAAATTCGTCGAGAGCTCGGAAGTTTTCCATTAGAAGTACTTTTTTGCCTTAGTTTTCTTCCACAAAACACAAATACGGTTTAAATACTTTAGGTAATTCCAATGCTAATTCGTTATATGGTATGAGAATGCGTTGCGTTGATTCATTAAAGTAATGAATTAAATTAATGAATTAAATTAATGAATTAAATTAATGAATTAAATTAATGAATTAAATTAGTTCTTTCTGGTAAATGTGTTTGTGCTCTTGGTTCATCTTCTATTCACAAATGGTATTATTAATTGCAGACTCTCTATTCCAGTTCTTCAGGTTCCAGTAATAACCGTTTGTTTGTAACACCGTCATTAAAACCCGTGTTGAATTGATTGCACATCTTTTCATCTCTATCGCAAATTTGCATCCTTCAGCAGCAATCTTTTTTGCAATCCACCTTGAAAATTTTGCCACACTTTTGTAGTATTAACGATGACTTCGGTTTAAAAATGCTTATAATGCTTTCCGCGATATCTTCGAATATTTCTGAATTGTCTTCGTAATATATAGACAGGCATAAATCTTCCAATGTAGAATAGACCTTTGGTAGCAAATATGTTAATGTTATTGTTTTCTTATTGGATTCGGTTACGTTCATTGCAGTTATATGCGTATTTATTCATTCTTATATGCGTATTTGTTCATTCTTATATGCGTATTTATTGATTCTTATATGCGTATTCATTCATTCTTATATGCGTATTTATATATTCTTATATGCGTTTTAAAAAAGCACAGTTTTTTCAATACAAGTTGTTCTTATGTCCTGGTAAACGAGGTTAAAAATATTTAAAACAATGACTTTTTACATTTGGTAATGGTTTATTTAAGGTAGAAACTACCCTCTTTCTTACTTAATTTAGTAATAGGTCTTTTTTACTTATATTATTAAACTCATCGATTGATTAAATTATTATTTTTCAAACTATCCATTTATCTAGATTTAAATTTAGTTATTTATAATTATTATTAATACACAAATATTTACCCTATGGATGGAAAATAGCAGTGCCAATCGAAAAACAAGGCAAAATTGTTACAAAAAAGGGCATTGAAATGCTTAATAAATTTTGTTGAAAAAAATGACTCTGCAACAAACATTTCCACTTCTCTTAATCTATGCACACAGTTCAAAATCTTGTCGCTAAACAGAGGATAATTCAACGACATGACTGCATTCAAGTCGTTTTTTGATAAAAAACGAGGTAAAAGACCTATAATTTGTATTTATCAAAAGATAAAAATAAATACATTTTACGCAATAATAATTTTATTAAGCAGCCCATTTTTCTTACAACAACAACAAAAACAACAAGATATTTATTTATTAAAAATTATAATATTTTCTATAATGATACAAATAATATAATTATTATAAAATATAACTAATAAGAATAAATATAAATAATTATTTGAAAAGGAAGGTGTCACTCAAACAGAAGCCTGATCAAAGGAGTGACACCAAATAATTATAACAATAATAATTAAAAATAATAATATTATCTATAATAATACAAATAATATGATGACATGAGTGTCACTCATAATCAAAATGAGTGACACCAATTAATTATAACAATTAGTATAATAATAAAATAATTATAAAAATAATAAATATAAACCAAAAATCGCTAAAAAAAGAAAAAAAAATACTAATAACGATAAAGCGATACGATAAACAACGATAACGATTAACACCGATAAGTTAAATAATAAGACAAAAAATATGAAAACACTCAATAACAACAGCAAACAAAAATAAAAATATCAAGCAAAACAGAACAAATAAAAAAGAAACCTTACACAAACGAAAAGGCAAAACACAAAAACAACAAAACGAAAAGGCAAACACAAACACTTCTACAAAAAAAAAAATTAAATTAAAAAATAAGGACAAACTTTAGTTATTTTTGCGAAATAAAGAAAAAAAAAAAAAAAGAATCAATCAGGAATCAACAATAAAAATAATTAGCACAAATAATAACAAACTTTACGCAAACGAAAAGAGAAACACAAAAACTACAAAACAAAATGCATACACAAAATGATAATATTTAACAAATATAATATTTAATAAAAATAACTAATGGTAACATTATAATATTAATTAATAATTAATATAATAATAAAAAATAATAATATAACAAATACCACGTTAAAGAATGATATAAGTATATATTATGAAATAGTAAAATGAATAAATAATAATCTAGTATAAAATAAGTATCTAATACAAATAATAATTAAAATAAAATAAAAAAATGATAATTACAACAAAAACTAGCTACAAAAATATCTTCTAAAACTTGATCTTTTCTTTCTTCTCTTCCGCTTTTTCGTTGGTTTCTTCTGTTTTTCTTTTTCTTATCTTTTTCTTTTCTTTTTTCTTTTTTATCTTTTCTTTTAGTTAAATCATAGTCACAAGAATAGATAGTCTGGAAACACGGGCCGTAACAATTGATTTTGAACTTTTATGTCAAAATTGTACTTTCGGCCCGCTGAAAGTGCAAAACAAACGGTAAGTACATGATTCCATAGCGTAAAGTTAGGTCCCGTAAAATGTTCCGCAATTGTCCCGCTTCACGTCCAGGACAGAGTTAACATTATTAATTTTTGCATTTATAATTTAATTTATGAAATAATTAATATTCTTTAAATGTGGAGCACGTTTTCACCTGGTTATCGTCGAAGATTAAATTTAAATTGGTAAAAAAATTATTATTATAGATAATAATAATTTAAATTTATTAGAAAAAACAACATTGAGTAGAGGTAATACAAGACACTTTAACTTTTTTAGACAAAATATTTTAAATTTTGAATATAAAAAGCTTAAGTTGATGTTTGTTTTACTACTCGTTTAAAAACATTTCTCAGGAATGACATCCCTGAGAAATTTAAAAATTTAAAAACATTCCGAATGTTTTTAAACGAGTAATATAATATAAGCTTTTTATATTCATAATTTAAAATATTTTGTCTAAAAAGGAATTTCCTCTACAAGCACGCTTTAAATGAAGTATCAATTTCCACGTTTGTACAAACGTGGAAATTGATACTTCATTTAAATGTATGGTTGTTACTGTTTAAATTTTTTTAGTTGTTATTTCTCAAGAAGAAAGTTGGGTTACTGTAGAAACATACGTTGAAGTACTTTTTTTGATACATAGCTACGAAACAGAGGCTGTATCAAAGTTTTCATGCTTTAGTGAAAAAAACTGGAAATATGGTATGACAATTTTAATTGAGTGTTTTTAAAATGCAATTGCTAAATTTTAATTTTCTTTTATATTTGTATAGTTATTATTTAAAATTTTTGTTGTTGTTGTTATCTTTAAAGATTCTTCTGCAAAACACCACAAAATAAGATGATTCAATATCATTTAATGTTACTCCCTTTATGGTTTTAGGATGTAAAGTGCTTGATTGTATGCACGGGAATGATAGAAAAGCCTCTTCTAAAGAATTTTATAAAATTCATTTATTATTATAATATGTTTTTCTTTATCAATTTGTTTCTAAAATAGCTCCTGTATTTAATGATTATATGTCTAAACCTTTTATTTTTGTTCTTTTGTCTAATTTTCTTAATAGGTATCAGATCACAGTTTTTCAAAAAGCTATTTGCTATATTTAAATTTCTTAATCACCAAGAAATTTAACTGTAGTTTTCAAATAAAAATTTAGAAAGTTTAAAAGTTCCCAAGTTTTAAGGTTTTATTTCATTGTTTGTTTAATTTATATTATTGAAATGAGATTTAAGTCAGTCCTATATTAACTATTCAAGATATACATGCATCAACTTAAAATATAACCAATTAATTTATGTTAATTCTTTTTAAAATAAACTTTGTTTTAGATTGCTGAGGATACTAAATTTAGAAGAGTGCAATTCTCAAACCGTATTAAAGATGCTTTGTCAAGAAATAAAGTAGTAAGGGAAAGAGTGTTTCCAGTTTGCTTTCCTTCAAAAAGTTCTCATACTGGTCATTTTACTAGAAATGTAAGATTTCTTTTTTCTTTTTCGTGTAGATAAAGTTAAACAATAGATTTTAAAAGAAAAAAACATTAAAGAGTTATCCAAATTAATTTTTATTTCTTTATTATATTTTTATGTTTTTATTATGTTTCCATTTATTTAAACCAACAACAATAAGGTTGTAGTAAATCTTAATTGCTATTTTTATTGCTGTTGTTTAGGAACTTTAGATTTAATATTTTTTAAAATATGTATAAACTTTCTTGTGTTCAGTATATTTAGTATATCATGTTTAGTATCTTGATCCAGATTACTTAAGGCCTTAAATTTAAATGCCTGCTCCTACTGATGGTTTTGTTATATACTCGGTATGTTCTTGTACTATTCCTAATATATGTAATATTGTTCATACAAACTTCAATATTTTCACCAGGGGTGGGTTTTGTCACTCACCAAGGAGGTGGCTAAAATGGTTTTTAAAAAAAAAAGGTCTGCATTTTTCACTTAAAAGTGACTTTTTTTAACTTTTTGTACTTTAGTGTAATAATCAAGTTCATATATGTATAATTACCTATAATAGTCAATTACCTATAATAGTCAATCCCGATGGGGGGTGGGGGCAACTACCCCCATGCCCACTCTAAAACTCGCCACTGATTTTCACAGTCTGCTGAAGCTATTAAGTGTATCAATGAAGAGAACTGATCTATCAATCATTTTTACAGCAATCAATAAAATATCTCATTGGAAGTAGGAAGAAGGAAGCTTGTACTATTGTAAAATAAAATGATATCTGTTTCTGTAGCATTATATATATTAAAGTGTACTTTATTTTAGATCAAATTGCATGATTTCACATTTATCCTTATTAAAACTGATTAGCCTTTTTTTTCCCAGTTAAATAAGATGTCAAGATCAAACTGTGTAGAGTGATTTTTTTTTTTTTTTTCTAATTGAGTTATTTTCTAAATTTTCAAAATATTTTCAAAATTTCAAATAGTTCTTGGAATATGCATTTTAAATATGGAATTCATATTTTAATAAAGATATAAATTTTATCAAAAAAGTCTAACAAAAAGCCGCAAAAATTGGCTACAAAAGAAAGGGAGCAAGTTATGAGCAAAGATTAAAAGAAATGGGCTCACAAAATCTATCGAATAGAAGAGAAAACAGCGATCTCATTAAAATGTTTGAACTTATAAACAACCATGATATTATCAATTAGAACTGCGTTCCACAAGTATTGGGTAGGCTTACAGAGGCCACAATCAAAGGTCGAGAAGACATTTTGTTAAAAACTTTTTGTTGAGACCAATTTTTTTACAAACCATATACAGTGGGTTGCCAAATTATTTGGGACACTTCACTTTTTAAGTAATTTTAAAGTTTAAATGATTTTTGCAAGCAAATAATTTTTTTTAAATAAAAAGTTTTGAGTGTATTTTAGTCACTAATATAACTATAGTTGTTTTTAAACTGTGGCAATTTGTGATAACCCAATATGTCAAAAAGTTAGGTTATTACTCAATTAGCTGTCAATTTTTGAAAAGTGTGGTTGAAAGTCAAAAATTCAAAATTGATTTCAGTTACTTATTTTTGGAACAATTTTTTGCAAGTTTTTTGAGTTTAAAACTATTGAAACCTAAATATTCGTTAATAGTTCAATTAGTTTAGTTATTAATTTAGTATTTTTGCTACTTTTAATGCATAAATCCCTGACATACAACTATTCTTACCTCTCGTTAATTTTTTTAGTCTCCAGACTTAACCCCCAAAAAAAACCAGAAAAGTAAAAACCTTACTTCATTCTACACATTCTCAGAGAGAGGTTGCAAGCGTTTCAAAGTCAGTAGTGAGTCGAATTTAAAAAAAAAATGGTACAAATGTGACTCTAGAACCAGACCATGTCAGCCAAAGTGGCAGTAAAGGATCACTACTCCACATTATGACCGTAAATTTAAAGACATCTGTCTTGAAAACAGAAAAAAAAGTGTGGCTCAACTAGCTATAATTATAAACAATGAAGGAATTAACGTCTCCAAAAGGACGGTTCAGGGACGGTTGGTTGAAGAGAATTTAGTGTGCTATCGTCCAACCAAAAAAATAATGTTTAACTGAAGCCATGAAAAAAAAGCGACTGGAATGGGCTAGAAAACACCAGAATATGACTATTGAAGACTGGAGTAGAATAAATATAATTTATAATATTGTGAGAAACCAGAAAAATTTAAGGATAAATATTTATTTTTGAAATATCTTTGATATATTTTGCAGGTCAAATATCTTTAAAATGTTTTACAGGTCTGCTTCTTGGGCCAATCAGCATTTCAAATTTTGATGGACAAAAGATCATTTGTTCGACGATGCCCAGAAAAAAATTTCACTAGGACTGCTTTTTGGAAAAGGTTCAACATCCTGTGAGTGTAGGGGTGTGGTCTGTGATCTCAGCCAAGGGTATGGGCTGCCTTTACATTGTGGAAGGAACCATGAAGCAGGATTGGTCCTGCCATATGGTTCCTTCTTACAAGCGATTACTGGAAAACAGGCTCCTGCTCCAGGTCTAAGAATGGTTCCCTGGTAATGAAGAGTATATGTTCATGCATGACTCAGCACCGTCCCATAAAGCTAGAAGTGTTACAGCATTCCTAACTGAATAAAAAGTGCATGTTTTGCCATGGCCAGGGAATTCACCTGATATTAACCCTATAGAAAATTTATGACAGTTCATAAAACAGAAAATTGCCAAAAAAAATTATCACTAACAAGCAGCAATTGATAGAAACCATTATAAGAGAGTGGAATAGCAAACTCAGTCTCCAACATAATGCAGAAGTCTACATAGATAGCATGCCCAGATGCCTGAAAGCTGTTATTGTAGCTAAGGGTGGCATTACAAAATATTAAGATTATTACCTTATTTGCCATGTTTTCAAACTTTTTATAATAAAATAAATAGCAATGAATAAGTAATTATGTTGTTTTATATTCTAAAAAAAACTCTCTACCAATAAAAAAAATAACAATAAGATACATATTTATTCATTAAAGTAGTTTGTACTTAAAAATTACTTAAAAAGTAAAGTGTCCCTAATAATTTGGCAACCCACTGTAGTTAAAAAGTGTAATTGTTTGCATAGAAAAGTTGTCAATGCCATTTCAGTAATTGATTCCAAGAAAAAGTTTAAAGAATTTAGCTTTGATGAATTCGTTGATGATTTTTCAAGATTTTTTTTTGTATTACTTTGTTGTGATATCTTTCTACCATTAGCACCTATCTACCTTTTGATATCCATCTATCTTTATTTGGTATGCCAGCTTTTATACAATTCTGGCCTTCTTAAAAGTGTTGATAAAATGCAAAGAAGATTAGAGATCATTGCCTTAAAAGAAATATTTCAAAATAATGTGTGTCCAATAAGATCAAATAAAAAGTTTTTCCTATCAAATAAAATTATTTGTATTCATATGCTTTTGGTGTCTAATTATATAAGTTGTACACCAAATAAGTCTTGTGTGTTTTTTTAACAAGTGGCTGCAAATGTTTTTAATGTATTTGTTACATTCAGAGTTAACACATTTTTGTTATTTTAAATTTGTTTATAATGTATTTGTTACATTCAGAGTTGACACATTTTTGTTATTTTAAAGTTCTAATAACTGTTAAGTTATTAGAAAATAAAGAATAAAGTTATTAGAAAATAAAGAAAAGAGTAACAATTCGGTTGACACAAGACTTGAAAATTTGCAGGCTGTATGAGTTAGAAAAACATGATTACGGGAGGAAATTCCAAAGGGTTCAATTAAGGGGAAAAAACTAAACAAATAAAAATTTTTATGGCATACAGGGACAGATACAGTAAAGAGGTGAGACTTTGCTAAATGACGAGTCAAGTAAAAATGAGTTTATGGAACTAGAGGTGAAAGCTCCTTTAAGTAGGGACCATGTTAGTATTTGTAGAATAGAGATGCAACTTGACGACGCTGAAAGAGAGGCTCTAGCTTGACAGATAGAGCAGATACTAAACAACTACATTTACAATGCATATTTGGACCTTATCTTGAAAAATAAGAGCATCATTGGAAGAACCAGTCTAAATATGACAACATTATTCCAAACAGGGGCAAAAAAGAGGTTAGCAGAGGTAGAAATGAAATCGGGAGTAAGAAAATGGCAAGCACGATAAAAAGAAGCAACTTTAGCAGCTGCTTTTTTTTTTTGCATTTGCATTTAGCAATCAATTGTATATATGGTTTCCATGAAGGGTCATAAGTGAATGATAATCCGAGAAGAGGACTCAGTGAAGGGCTTGCTATTTATCAATATAGGAATGTCAACAGTATTGCTATTTGTATAATATAGTTATTCGTAGTAAATAACTAAGTTTGGTTGAAGTTAAAATTCACAAGCCATGCAAGCCTCAATCTGTTACAGAGGTTAGATCAGATTCAAGATTGAATTTTTGTCAAGGCAGTAGTATAAAGTGGAGTCACCAGCAAATAAAGCCACTTTAGATGTAAGGTTGCCAGGAAGATCGCTAATATAGATAAGAAACAAAACAGGATTAAGGATAAAACCTTGAGATACCACAGAAGTTACTGGAAATGAAGAAGAGTGTTGGCATTTAAGGATGACTTTAAATAAGTGGTTCAAATATTTATGATTTTTATAAAAACTGGAGTATATAATTGTATCATCAGCAAATTGAGCAATTAAACCACTTAAGAGGTAAGATTGTCACATAAGATCAATACATTAATATAGAAAAAAACTCCCTTTGGTGTGACCTATATGGACAATATTAGGAGATAACGAGAAAGAGTTTCAAATTAAGGCTTTTTTTAAATTGTTTTTATTGTAGCCTTATTCTCACTCTCTTTTTATTCGTAAGCCCTAATAAAACCTAATGGTCTGTTTTTGGGCACTATCAATGGGAATATTATCACTGTACAAAGTTATTGGCTTTTTTTTAGGATACTTATTACTTAAGTATAAAGACGTCCGAAACTTGTGTTGTTTAAAGAATCTTAATGTAAGTAAAGATGTTACTACAAAATAATAACAGTTTATGTGATTAGGAAATTATTTGTTTATTTAGTATAAGGTTTAAGTCTATAATATATTTTTTGAGTTATTGTTTTTTTTAAACTTATTTCCAAATAACTTTAAGTAAATTTTTATGTTATTGTCAGTTATTTATTATTTATATCTAATATAAGTAAGGAATTTTTGTTTTTAAAATGTTATTTTAATTTATGTGTTTTTAAATTCTTTTTACATCAATCGATCTTTTTAAATCAAAATGATTCAGTTTATTTTATATTTCTCTATATCTATATGTATGTTTTCTCTTAAGAAAAATAATTAGGAATAGGAAAATTAAAAAATATTCTTTATATATTTATATGTTATATAACATTAAAAAGTATATTGTGTTTTATAGTTAGTATATATGTTTATAATGTTGTTTCCATAATTTCAAAGTGGTGTGACTTGGCAAACTTGTAGAGCAATATTTGTCAACCTTACCATTCAAGCAATGTTACTGCTTTAGATCTAAGTTTTGTCTAGCCTTTAATATAACTATACTAAAAAATACATAACATTATCTTTGATAATTTTTTGCTTAATTTTGTCACCTTTGGCTTATCTTTATGTTGGTGTCTGTTGTTTAAAAATGATTAATAGGTAGTTTCATTGCTAGGACTCACTGCTTTTATTTATTTACTAAAAGTCATTCAAGACATCATTTCGCTATAAATACATTTTGTTTATCATGAAATAAAAATATTTAACAACTACAATTCAGGTATCACAACAGCTTATCTCTATCAGATACATTGATTTTCAAATCACGTATTATGTTTTTGTTCGTATTTACTTATTCGTTACATTTTTTAACTTCAGATT